GCTAATCCTCCACCTTGCGGCGCCGGCACACCGGGTTCTAGTCCCGGTCGGGGCGCCAGATTCTGTCACGGTTGCCCCTCTTCCAGGCCAGCTCTCTGCTGTAGCCCGGGAGTGCAGTGGAGGATGGCCCAAGTGCTTGGGCCCTGCACCCGCATGGGAGACCAGGAGAAGCACCTGGCTCCTGGCTTCGGATCGGTGCGGCGCTGGCTGCAGCAGCCATTGGAGGGTGAACCAACGGCAAAAAGGAAGACCTTTCTCTCTGTCTCTCTCTCACTGTCCACTCTGCCTGTCAAAAAACAAAACAAACAAACAAACAAAAACTCCTTTCCTCTTATTTTATATCAAGGAAGCATTTGCTTATTTTAGAAGTCTCTGAAGCAGGGTTCTAAACCTTCCTCACTGTTCTAGGTGCTCCTTACTGTTCTAAATGCTCATTATCTTCCTCCATGTTCGCCATGTTATTTCCCCCTACACCCCTCCCATTCCCAGGGCCTGGGCCCAGAACATGGGTCATTGCCAGCTGCTCTAAGGTGGTTTTTGAATATTACTGTTTCTTCAATAAAGGAACAAAAAGTATCTACAGGTTAATGGTACAAAAGCTATGAATAAATGCATTGGTAGCAGTGGAGAAAAAGCCAACATTGAGTAATTTTTTACCATCTGTGTGTCCCAGGCTGATACCACTATGAACACTTGTGACAGAAAGAGGGCTGCTGGGGTCAGCTGTCTAACTTGGCCAGTAACTCACCTGAGATAAAGAAACAGAAATTGAAGCTAAGCAACACACCAGTAGATTTTGCAAATTCCACTCAAAACCTAGACACAGCCCTTTCCCCCTTCTTGGGTTGGATTTCTTGTCACTGATGCTCCTGATGTATAAGAATAAGCTGTCCCTTCTAGAACTAAGGTTTGGAGGCAAATCAAAGAACTAGCTCCTGGGGAAGGTCCGGGACCAGCAGGTGGAGCAGGAGGAAGCCCCTTCTGATGTGACATTTGCACGGACCTCTGATTCATGTGCAAATACGTCTGTGTATCCACATCAGAGATCCGTGATGGTGCAACCTGTGCCCAGGCAGCTCGGGAGTGGGCAGATGCATGTAAGGAGTGACAGCAGGGGGCTGGCACTGTGGCATAGAGGGAAAATGCCACCAGTGCTGGCATCCCATATGTGTGCCGGTTCGAGACCTGGCTACTCCACTTCTGATCCAGCTCTCTGCTATGGTCTGGGAAGGCAGTAGAAGATGGCCCACACATGTGGGAGACCCAGAGGAAGCTCCTGGCTCCTGGCTTCAGATTGGCACAGCTCCAGCCATTGCAGCCATCTGGGGAGTGAATCAGCAGGTGGAAGACCTCTCTCTCTCTCTCTCTCTCTCTCTCTCTCTCTCTCTCTCTGCCTCTCCTTCTCTCCGTGTGTAACTGTGACTTTCAAGTAAAATAAATAAATCTTAAAAAAAGGAGTGACTTTAAAAAGGCCATTGGGAACACTGTTGCAGCAAGAAATAAAATCCGTAGCATAGCACAAAGTGTCAACATTTACACCTGCTCGTTTTCAGGAGCAGTTACTTGAATGGCCTCAAGTTAGTTTATCTTTTTTTTTTTTAATTTTAGAATGATGAAAATGGCATTCTCCTGATTCCAGGTTGTGAATGGGCAGTTTTCCGACTGGCACATCCTGGAGTAATAACTCAGATTGAAATAGACACGAAATATTTTAAAGGTAAGTATAAAGCCATGGGTGTACCTTGTAATTGGTGTGCCCAGTCCACAGATACCACGTTCTGTGGGGCTGAGCTGTGGGCTCTCTTGGGGCCACCCTTATCTGTGCCCTTCTGAGCAAGTTGCTCTCTCTGTACTCTAGTAGGGAATTCAGAGTTGGATGGGAGGACCCCAGCATGTACTCTGAGATCCTGGGGTGCTGTAGGGCTCCTTATGCTGGAGGATCTGAGCCCACCTTGGAAAGAGCCTGGGAGAAATACCGGGATGGTGGCACCTGCTTACAGGTGAGCAGGTGAGCAGGTGCATGGGGGTGTCCAGCTCCTCTCTGGCTGGCACATTCTCCAAGTTGTGTACTTGGATTACTAAAAGCATATTTGACAAGCAACTCTTTAGTCTATATTGACTTTCTTGTGAAATACAAGCAGTCTTCAGAAAGTTCATGGAAAATGCATGAAAAACCTACCCACGGATTTCAAAATTTTACCAAAATAAACTTAATTTCAGTTTCCATGAACTTTTTGACATGTGACACTACATTAAGAAAGTTCAAAAGAGGTTACTAAACTTTTATCCTTTTGAGGTGATTTTGTGATTGTTCAGCTGTTTCTGTAATAAGTAGTGGTAGTTTATGTTCATATCGTAGATGGCTGACTTTCAAGAATCTTGCCAAGTCGTGATGACTTTATTCAGTTGTTAACTGTTACAGAAGGCACAAGACATCTGTAAGGACAGCTTTGTAATCCATAGTAATGGATGATGACGTTAATTATTTTTCAGCAGTTTTAACTTCCTTTTGGAGGGCTGCATTGAAGTCTGATTGTGTGGTCCTGGATTTTATTTTTCACTTGGGCTGATGAAGAGCCAACCTTCAGGATCAGGTGAAATGCTGGCACTGCTCTTTTCCTGTGTTCGTGTGTACTTTGTTTTAGGGTTTTCTTTAACCCTCGTTTTCTGCATGAATGCTTTAAAATTACTTGCTTATTTTTGTGAGGGACAGGTTAGCTACAAGCAGGGAGCAACCAGCAAATCCATTTAACCATGCTCCCAAACTGTACTGGATCACAAATGTTCTGCTGTCGATGGCTGTCGTGGGAATGAGGGAGCATGCAGTATCCACTTACATTATGTAATGACAAGAGAAACTATTTATATAAAATGCACAAAGCTCAACATATGCACTTATGTACAGGCATCAGAGAAACAGAAATCGTGGCTCTGTTGTTCCTCCTGAAATAGAAATCTTAGCTCTGTTGTCCTCTTCCTGTGCCCTTTGAGATTCACCCCAGACCCTAGGTACAGGCTCACCCCTGGGGGACACTGAGAGAGGAGCCAGGCAAGCAGTGAGCATCCCCTTCTTTGCTCCGTTCAGCATTGGCTGTTGTTGAAGTCTGGGGGGCTGTCCCTAGGGTCTTACTGCTCTGCACCAGGCTTCCTATGAAATGAGAGAGAGCGAGAGAGAGGCCCAGAGTAGCATGAGGACACTTTGCAGAGGTCCTGGAGGATTGTGTTTGGTGCTCGGCACTGGCTGCTTGTCACGCTACAAACTATGACACCATGAGGAAAATGCTCCCAGCATGGTCATGGCGTCAGGTGAGCACACAGCGGCACGCGAGTCGATGCATGTGGCACCCAGGAGCTCTTCACATACGTTCAGCTTTCAAAGCCAGAACTCTCCGCATTTAAAGGGGAATGTGCTAGGGCAGGCTGCTTCTGAGTGCTCTGGCAGACACACGCTTACCTATCTCCTGAGGCCTCCCAGCACCACCGCCAGCGGCTCCTTCCTCCTCTCCTGTCCCCCGGACCTTGGCTTGTACTCAGGAAGGACGACTTGTTTTTGATGTGATGAGAAAAGCCGGGCGTGCTGTGGGCTGAGCTGTGCTGCGTGAGCCCGGGGTGGACAGGCTGTGTGTTGCTCCCACAGGCAATTATCCTGACAGCTGCAAAGTGGACGGCTGTGTCCTGACCACTCAGGAAGAAGAGGACATGATCAAGCAGAAGTGGGATCTCCCGGCCCAGAAGTGGAAGCCGCTGCTTCCCGTCACCAAGGTTCGGGGGTGGGGAGGTTTGGAGCAGGCCCACAGGGGCTATTTCCTTAGCTCCACTCTGCAGGCGTAACATGCAACTCCAACCTTCCACTCAGGTTAGCAGCAAGGGTTTAAAAACTGTGTCTGCACACTTGAATAAGAAGACAGGCTCTGTTTCCCCCACTTTTGCATCTCTAACAGTTGACCTAAAAACCCGCCACGTGCTAAGAATACAGACATGGAAGACTATTTCTGTGTTACATTCAGCCTTGCAGAAGGGGTGACTGGCACCTGTGTTGCTATGGTGGTGTCTGCCCTGAGAGGGGACCTGAGACATCCCAGCACATCTCTTCTGCTCCAGCAAGGGGTGGGGCATGGCCCCTGAGCATCGCAGAGGTCTGCCTCCAGGAGGCACCAGGGGATCCAGTTAACTATGATGACAGGTGTCAAGGGGACTTGAACGTTCAAGCCGGTGTCAGTGGGCACTTTCCCCTCCAGCAGGTTCCTACAGCAAGCCAAATTACTATCATGAGAAAACTCTCTTTCTAAGCCCCTTAACACAAGCCTAAGCCACTGGGCTGTGCCGGGAGGGCTGGCCTCTCTGGGCCACCCACACCCTGTCCCACCAAGGACCTTGCATGTGCCTGTTTTTCAGCTGTCCCCCAACCAAAAGCACTCATTCAACAGCCTGACCCTGGAGCTGCAAGATGTCATCACGCATGCCAGGCTCACCATCGCACCAGACGGGGGACTGAGCCGCCTCCGCCTCAGGGGCTTCCCCAGCTCCATCTGCCTCCTGCGACCCCGGGAGAAGCCCGCCATGAGGTTCTTGGTGAAGCCGGGCTACAGAGCCAACCCTTAGGCCTAGGCTGAAACCCTGGCATTGGCTGCAGAGTGACAGCTGTCTGGGCAGGCTCCCTCTCATGGGTCTGGAACACCGAGCCTCCTGGCGACATAATAAAGTGCTCCTCTCTCGAGCTGAGCCCTGCAGTCCGTGTGGCCAGGAAGCCGTGCTGAGATGGGGAGGCCGTCTCTTAGGGAATCCTTAGGTTCCTGTCAGTAGTGTTCTGTACCTTCTGTGTGCAGCTCTGGTAGGTAATACATGGCCTACTGTCTTGGCAAGTGTTTTTTTTTTTGACAGGCAGAGTGGACAGTGAGAGAGAGAGACAGAGAGAAAGGTCTTCCTTTGCCATTGGTTCACCCTCCAATGGCAGCCGCGGCCGGCGCACCGTGCTGATCCAATGGCAGGAGCCAGGTACTTCTCCTGGTCTCCCATGGGGTGCAGGGCCCAAGCACTTGGGCCATCCTCCACTGCACTCCCGGGCCACAGCAGAGAGCTGGCCTGGAAGAGGGGCAACCGAGACAGAATCCGGTGCCCCGACCAGGACTAGAACCCGGTGTGCCGGCGCCGCAAGGTGGAGGATTAGCCTAGTGAGCCGCGGCGCTGACCTTCTTGGAAAGTTTAAGCCCAGACACCATCACAAACTGCATTTCTGAGTCATTCACTGTCCCGGCCAAGAGGACTGCTGGTCTTCACGCCCAGAGCCTCTGCCCCCAGCTTTCTTCCTCCAGCTGAGGGTGCTCTCTGCTGAGCCCCCACCCTTGGCGCCTTCAGGAACCCGGTTTCTCATGTGCTGTGACTGCTTCCGGACCATTCTGCCCCTGGTAGAGGACGCCAGGTTACTCACTCTGAGCCAGGGGCCTGGAAGGGATCTGGCCTGAAGTGGACAAATGCTGCATGCTGGTCAGATAGGGACACCGAGCCCAGAAAGGGGAAGCAGCTTCCAGCATCGAGGAGATTCTTAAGGAAAAATGGCTCAGGTGCCCTCCCCACTCCACCTCTACCTCTCTGCAGAGGGGGCAGCAAGTGTCATGGGATGGGTCACGTGGGCCCTGAACAGCGGGGTCTCACTTCCTCTCCATCACCCCCTCACCTGCCCGGGGTCTCAGGTACCTCCTCCCCTGTCCCGGCGGCCGGCCGGCCAGCGGTCACAATCGCCCGGGTCGCGTCAACACAGGCCGCCCCGCGGGGCCGCGCCGCAGCAGTCCCGCGCCCGCCGCCCGCTGTCCAAGGCGTCCGGTGCAGTGGGTGCCGCGGCCATGGGTTCCCGCGCGCCCTACACGCTGGTGGACACCACGCCCGCCAAGACCATCCTAGTGTACCGCAACGGAGACCAGTTCTACGTGGGCAAGAAGTTCGTGTTCTCGCGGCGCCGCGCCGCCACCTTCGAGGCGCTGCTGGAGCAGCTGACGGAGCAGGTGGACGTGCCCTTCGGGGTGCGGCGCCTCTACACGCCCACACGCGGCCACCAGGTGCGCGAGCTGGACGCGCTGCAGGCCGGCGGCAAGTACGTGGCGGCCGGGCGCGAGCGCTTCAAGAAGCTCGAGTAAGTGCGCGTCGCGGGGCGCGCAGGAGCAGGGGCTGCGGTGCGTCCGGATGGGCCTGGGCTGCTCCCGGGGCCAGCGCGCTGGGCTTCTGCACAGGATGCGCTCGGCAGTGCTGGCCCAGGGCGCCCATCCGGGAGTCCCGTCGCCAAAACGCGGCAATTCAGAGATGGGGGCAGTGGGAAAAGGGCGCTGGGTGGTGCGGGGCGCGGGGTTCACTCAGCGTGGGCCTCTCGGAGCTCCAGGGTCACGAGGTCTGGGTCGGGCGCGCGTTTCTCAGCCTCGCCTTTGCCCTGTGGTCGGTGTGTGCCAGCCCGGGGCTGGAGCCTGCCCCGTCTCTGTGGCTTTCCTCTCCTGGGCTCCTGTCTCCCAGTAAATGGACCCATTTTTGACGCTGAACTCCCTTCTGCAGTTTTGTGTGGGGAATCTCTTCACAGGTTGAGGAAAAGAGGCGAGATCTCCAGGCAGAGTTCCCATCTTCTTCCCCCAAATGGCAGGGACGCTCCCAATCCCGATCCTCTCAGATCAGCAGCTTGAGTTGTTTTCTGTTCACTAAGCACTGCGTGAGAACTGGCTCATAGTTCCAAACACTTGGCAGCACGGGCGCAATGCAAATCTGACACCCTGTTGTTGAAGACAAGTCGTGAACCACAGGCGTCGGAGTCGCCAAGAGGTGGAGTGTGGCTTGGAACCGTGGCCTTGGGGATCCACGGCTATCTCCGTGACAGTCATAGGATTCTTGGGCGAGAAAGATGCCCCTTTGCAGATGTCTGACTGCAGGATGAGCTGGGCATTACACACGTGTAGAACTTATGACTTCCTGCCAGAAGCCGGTATTCAGCATTATTTCAAGACAACCAAAGAATATTTTTTTTTATTTTGCAAAAATTGACTTTAAAATCCTTTGCACTCCATATGTGAGGAGAAGTGTTTAATTTTTTTTCCCAAAGCACTTTCTTGTAAATCTGAGGGAGGATATGTGGAATGCACCTGCTCTCACGCCTGGAGCACGCCCAGTGGATGCCACACCTACCTCCTTCCCTCTGACAGATACTCTTACACTTCTCATTGTACTTTATTTAAAGTGTTTTGGATGTATTTTGTTCCTCAAGAATATTGAGGAAGACAAGTATTTCCCATCCCTGCATTTTAATGTTTGTGATTACTTTCTTTGGAAGGATGGGTGATAATCAATTCACAGAGGGCGAGTGGAGTTCCGTGTGGTCCTCAGCCAAGGTTTTCCTGCACTGTCCACGTTCCTATTGCTGTGCACAAATGTGCAGTTCCACATGGAGAGGCCTTTGGGTTTCGTTTCTGTCACCACTTCTTAGGTCAATGAAGTGTGAAATCAGAATCCAGACTTTGGTGATCAAAACTCTGAAAAACCATCTTGGCTGGCTTTCCACAAGTATCAGTAAGTGAGCACTTGTTGGGAATTTATATTCTGTAATTACCCAGCCATTGAGCAGCGAAAGTTAATTTCAGCAGGAAATAATGTGCTAATTATGCCACCAGCAAGTGAAGTTGAAGTGCAGCCCCCCCCCCCCCCCCGGCTCCCCTCCTGATAGTGGCTGTGAGAGTGCGCTCGGAAGACGAGCAGCACGGCTTTACCCAATACCCAATCACTGCTGGACTATTTCCTGCAGTTCCTGGAATAAACTAATAGGAGATGAAGAGGACAGTTTTTTTCTCTATAAAACAAAATGTTACAGGCTAATTAATATATTCAAAATAAACATGCCGTAAAACCTAGAATTATTTATTTTTTGGAGAAATCATATTCTTGACAAAATATTGCATGTGTGTACATGTGTGTGTGCATGTGCAACTATGTGTGAGGGAGGAACCCAAATAATTTGAATTATAATAGGAACATTGTCCTGTTTACCTTAGAGCTTGATACTGAGGTACAAATGTGAAAGTGGTATTTATTTTTATTCATTTTAGAGACAGAGGGAGCTCCCATCTGCTGGTTCGCTCCTGAAATGCCCAAGGCCAGGCTGAAACCAGGAGCTGGGAACTCAATCCAGCTCTCCCATGGGCGTTCCAGGGGCCACATTAGCAGGAAGCTGGAATTGGAGGCGGAGCCAGGACTCAAAGGCAGGCACTCCCGACTGGGGACGCAGTGCCCCAGGCTGCGTCTTAACTGCCGGGCCAAGCACTTACCCCTGAAAGTGCAATCTAAGTCAACGTTCCTGCTTCTTCTGCGCACATCTCCTGATCTCCCTTGCCACCGTCTGTACCCCGAGGAACTAGTGAGTGACAGGAAAAGGAGGAAAATGAATGGTAAGAGGGATGCTGGTCTCAGAGCCCAACGCCTGTGTGCAGCTGAGTCCTTGTCCTACCTGAGTGACATGGAGCAAATGGAATAAGCTCTCTGGGACTCAGTTTCCTCATCAGTGACATGGGTTCCTCAAGGTTGCTCTCAAGGGCACTCCATATGCCACTATGAGAAGTACACGGTTGTGGTACTGTCAGGTGCTAAGTACGGGTCCTGGGCCTGTCCTCTCCCCTCGTCCACTTCAGATGGCCACGTCTTCCTGCCCCCAAGGACACTGAGGCCTGACAGCAAGCCTCACCCAGACCAGCCCATTGACCCTTGAGGGATGACCTTTTTGTTCTATTTATGTGTTCTTGGGCGTGCAATATCGAACCAGTAAATAGTAGTCTGTGATTTGTAGGGTCTTAATTTTTCTGAATTTATTTTTGCTTTTTATTTCCGTGTAATCACAATCAGTTATCTTATTTGGGAGAACAGTGTTCTCAAACAAATATGGAATTTGAGAACTTAGAACCAGTTTACAGTGCTTATTTGGGAAAATGTGGAGACTTGGGGGCAGCTCGTGAAGACGTGAGGCCTGTGGGAGGAGATGGTGAACTGGGACACACAGGCTGCACCCAGCCAGCAGCCCTGATTTGCTTGGTGTTTATAATTCTCAGATTTGAACGCCAGTGACATTTTATAATAGAATTCAAACAATAATACGAACTTTTCTTCAACAGTTTCTATTGAAGAAAAATGAGGGGTTTGATTGTTCGGGGGCCTTGGTTTTTGTTGCCCGCATTTCCACATGGAAACTGTGCTGAGCTTCTCAGGCTCTGTCTGTCTGAGAAGGGAAGCAAGTGCCTTTTCTTTAGCCGAAGTCTCCACCACTCCCTAAGAACGATCTTTGGTAAGTGATGTTGTTTACCAGACTGGTGTTTGTAGGGATGAGAGCTTACAACTCTAGACTCCGTACTCAGTATTTATTTTTCCTTCCACCTATTAACTCTAAGTCAATCTCTGATTATTGCTAAAACCGTCATAAACATAACGATTTCAAGTACTTTTTTTAAAGCAGGAAGATATCTGAACATCAGATACAGTATCAAGGTGTTAGTCATTATCATTCACACCACTGGGTTTGTTTTTGGGGACCATGGAAACCTCTTCAAAGGTCCTCAGGGGTTAAAAACTGTACATGAGGGGAGCAGGAACGTTTTCATCTAGTGACGCTTTTCCAGTCTGTAGTTTTGGCAAAGCAGGAAGAGTGATGAAGCCCTGGGAGACAGAGGGAGGGGCCGGGGCCGGGAGCTGGGCGAGGAGTGGGGGTTCCTGCTCTGACACCCACCTGCAGCTGGGACACAGGTGCACTCACAATCCTGCTCTTCTGGTGACCTGGTTCCTGGGCACTGAATTAGATGGTCTGCATTTGGCTAGTAAAATGAGGGACGTTCATGTCATTTACGAGACAGTTTGCATGGGGCAATGCCTTTGGCAGCTGGCCTGGAAATGGCCCTCCGTGGCGTGGCTGCTGTGTGTGGGGTGGTTCCAGCACTCACTGCTCCGACCATGTGGCTGCTGTGTGTGGGGTGTGGGGTGGTTCCAGCACTCACTGCCTGACCATGTGGCTGCTGTGTGTGGGGTGTGGGTGGTTCCAGCACTCACTGCTCTGACCATGTGGCTGCTGTGTGTGGGGTGGTTCCAGCACTCACTGCTCTGACCATGTTGGTTTGGTATGTGGGGTTCTGTATGTAGGTGCTGAAAAGGACTCATCTCCAAAGAGGTCTCACCTTTCTGACTCAGTGTTTACCTTCTCACGAGGTTTTCTTGTTTCTTCTCTTGCAGCTATATTCACATAGTTCCCAGAAAACCTGGAAAGATGCGAAAGTTGAAGGAAGTAAGTGTTCACAGCCAACTGCGCAAGATGAGACAAGTTGGATGATTTGGTAAAGGTGTAATGTCAGTGCTGAATAATGGAAGTTTTACAAGGACGGTGCTTTGGGACGGGGGCTGCTCTGGGCTCAGATCCTCAGCGCGAGCTCACCTTGACTCAAAGCACAAAGCACCTGAGTGACGAGTTAGAACGTTCTGAGACCTGGCTCGGGCGCCGTCCTCTCCAAGGCTCACCGTGCAGTCATTTGTGGAAACGTTCCATGTCCCTTTGGTTTTGGGAGATTTGGGAAGACGGGTGTCAGGAAAAGTTATTTTAAGTCATGCAGCATTGAAGCTGATGACAATGCTAGATTAAAAGGTTTGCGCCAAGTTCTCAAAGTTTTTGCAAATCCTTGATAAATATTTAAAAGGTCTGCAGAATGGAACAGTTCATCATTCTGTTTGCAGCATTTGATTCTTAGCAAAAATCAATTTTAGTTTGTTAAGAGACCCACCTTTTTTGGTAAGCCACAAAAATCGCCAAGTTTTCAACAAGAGAGCCTATTGACGTTTAGAATTTGTTAAACTTTATTTTTAAAGATGGACTTTTCATTTTGTGGAGACTTAAACACATGGGATGCTTTGCGAGTGTCTGCTTCTCTAAGACATGGCCTGGCTGCTCTTAAGTCTCCTCTTCTATGAAGTGGAGACGATGATCTTGAACTTGGAATATTGCTGCCAGGATTACTTAATCAAGTGGGTGGATGTACCAGCCCCAGGATGGAGGCAGTTTCTCTTCCCCGGCCCTTTAAAGTTGGGCTCCTGTGTGTCCTGTGCTGCCATGCCGTGTCCCAGTGGAGGGTGATGTGGGAGCCCTGGCATCGCGCACGAGCTCCAGCCAACACACACCCTCCACAGCTTCCCTCTGTTCTACAGCAGGGCGGCGAGCCACGGCAGATTTGTCCTTTACTCGTCTGAAGTTGTAGCTTGCTAAGGCAGAAGGGCAAGTTTTCGGCTTGCAGCTGTGCAGTCATTGGATTCCAGGGCTACCTTAGGAGGGGAGGGGCAGTGGTCTTGGTCCATCTGTGTTTACCCCTCTTCCCGCAGGGCTGTGGTGGAGTTAACTGACAATTCTGAACATCATCTCTTGAGTGCATTTGTTAGAGTTTGAATCTCTGTTTATTTTTTGCATATTTGGTGATTTAAATGAGATATAATTAAAAGGTTATACTTGGGGCCGTCGCTGTGGTGCAGTGGGTTAACGCCCTGGCCTGAAGCATCAGCATCCCATATGGTCCACTTCGATAGTTCTCTGCTATGGCCTGGGAAAGCAGTGGAAGATGGCCCAAGTCACTGGACCCCTGCACCCGCGTGGGAGACTCAGAAGAAGCTCCTGGCTCCTGGATTCAGATCGGCACAGTTCCGGCTGTTGTGGAGAGTGAACCATTGGATGGAGGACCTCTCTCTCTTTCTCTGCCTTTCCTCTCTCTGTGTAACTCTGACTTTCAAATAAATAAATATTTAAAAAAATAAAAGGTTATACTTTAGGACAGGGAGGGAACTTGCAGATCATTTTGTCAACACCACTTACCTTCTCCTAGAGGAAGCTCTGAGTCTGGAAAGACTCAGAGATGTGCCCAGTGATAAACATGCCTGCGAGAATTCACTCCCCTCTTGCCGTGAGCCTGGCACTCTGCCAGTCCGTGCCAGGCTGCTGTACACCCACACTGGGAGGCCACACTTGCCCGAATGAGTGTTGGGCTTTTCCTTTTGGAATTCCCAATTTGTTCATTTCAAAAACCTGATTTACACAAAGAGTTCTTATTGAGAAGTGTTTAGAAATTCATCCACAATCCTGCCTCCCACGGATGCCCACTACTGCATTCATCTTGCCCATTTTCAGTTGTGAGCGAACTCACGCAAGCACCATATATAGGCACATCACTTATGAAGACAGAATCCCCCTCATCTGTCTTTATGTGTGCAGTGTGATGGCCACTTCCTCGCACAGTGAGAGTCCCTCAGCATGGTTTCCTGCCCGAGAACTTCCTGCATGGAGCTGATCACAGCTACTGACCCGACCCTCATCAGCAAACCTTTAATTCATTTTCACTATTGTCTTATTTAAATTTGTTTATTTTTTGATTAACATGTAACACTTGGACATTTTTGTGGGTACAGGGCAATATTTCTACATATATGTGCAGTGTAAACTGATCAAATCAGGTAATTAGTGTTTTCGTTTCCATACCTTTGTGTTGGAGCCTATCAGCTCCTCCCTTGTAGCTCCTCCCACAGGTATGATCCATTACTGTGAACTGTGGCTGCCCCACTGTGCTGGGGAATGCTGAGCTTATGCCTTCTGTCTGGATGTTTAGGTACTTGCTATTCACTCTCCCTCTTCTCCCCTCCCAGCCTTCCAGCCTCTGGTTATCACTACTCTAAGTTCAGATGAACATTTTTTTTTTTAAAATAAATAATTATTTATGTATTTGAAAGGAAGAGTTACAGAGAAGCAGATGCAGAGAGGGAGAGAGGAAAGAGTTATCTTCCATCCACTGGTTCACTCCTCGAATGGCTGCAATGCTGGAGCTGGGCTGATTGGAAGCCAGGAGCCAGGAGCTTCTTCCAGGTCTCCCATGCAGGTGCAGGGGCCCAAGCACTTAGGCCATCTTCTACTGCTTTCCCAGGCAATAGCAGAGAGCGGGATGGGAAGTAGACAAGCTAGATCTCGAACTGGTGCCCATATGGGATGCGGGCACTGCAGGTGGTGGCTTTACCCACTACACCACAGTGCCGCCCCCAGATGGACATTTTTTAACTTCAACATGTGAGACACAGAATGCATGGTGTTTGTCTTTCCATGTCTGGTTTCCTTCACTTAATCATGAAGCTGTGGAGAATGTAAGTCCATGAAATCATTCGGTCTGGCCCTGCCAAGGCAACTGCAGGCAGGACTCTAAATTCAGTAAATCAGTATCAGTCTAATTTTTAAGTTGACAGTTATGCATGGCTCACATTAAATATCCAAATGGCTCTTGGCAGAAAAAATATTCCCCACCCCAGAATGTAATGACCTTCAGTTCCATCTGTTTTAAATTCTTTTTTGTGGCTGAGTAATATTCCATTGTGTATTTATACCGCCCTTTCTTTGTCTGTTTATCTGTTGGTGGATACCTACCTTGAATCCATATCTTGGCCACGGTGAATAGAGCGCCATCGGAATGCAGGTGTCTGGATGTGCTGATTTCATTTCCTTTCAGTCCATTCTCAGGAGTGATATAACTGGGCCGTATGGTACATCTATTTTTAGTTTTTTTTTTTTGATGAAATTCCAGAGTTTTCTATAGTGACTGTATTAATCTGTGTTCCCATCAACATTGTATAAATCTTTTTGTCTTGTTATTAATAGCCATTCTAATGCTATCTCACTGTAGCTTTGATTTGCATTTCCCTGATGGCTAGCACTTTTCATATTTTGATTATATTATATACATATATTTGGTGGTGTATATGTTTCTTTTGAGAAATATTTGTTCCTTGTTTGTTTGTTGTCTTGCCTAAGTATTCTTTCCTCCCTTATTTAATTATTTATTTATTTTTCAAAAGATTTATTTATTTATTTGAAAGGCAGAATTACAGAGAAGAAAGAGAGGTGGAGAGAAAGAGAGAGATCTTTCATCTTCTGGTTCACTCCCCAAATGGCTGCAATGGTTGGAGCTGTGCCAATCTAAAGCCAGGAGCCAGGAGCTTCTTCCGGGTCTTCTACATGGGTGCAGGGGCCCAAGGACTTGAGTCATCTTCTATTGGTTTCCCAGGCCATAGCAGAGAGCTGGATCAGAAGTGGAGCAGCCAGGACTTGAACCAGTGTCCATATGGGATGCCAGTACTGCAGGCAGCTTTACCTGTTACACCACAGTGCCGCCCCCCCCCCTTTATTTATTTTTAAGATTTATTTATTTATTTGAAAGGCAAATATATATATATATGTGTGTGTGTGTGTGTATATATATAGAGAGAGAGAGAGAGAGAGACACACACACACACACACACAAATGCAGAGAGAGCAGAGAGCGAGCTCTTCCATCCCCTGGATCACTTCCCAAATGGCCGCAACAGCCGGGGCTGTGCCAGGCTGAGGTCAGGAGCCAGGAGATTCTAATGGGTCTCCCATGTGGGTGCAGGGGACCAGGCACTTGGGCATCTTCCACTGCTTTCCCCAGCTCATTGGCAGGGAGCTGGATTGTAAGTGGAGCAGATGGGACTTGAACAGGTGCCCCTATGGGTGCTGGCACTGCAGGCCTAACCTTCAAACCCACAATGCTGGCACCTAAATACTCCTCTAAATTTTTTTTATTTACTTTTATTTATTTGAAAAGCAGAGAGACAGACACACAGGGATTTTTCATCTGCTGGTTTACTTCTCAAATGCCCATAAAAGCCAAGTCTAGACCAGGCTGAAGCAGGAGCCTGGGATTGAATCTAGGTCTCCCATGTGGGTGACAGGGACCCAAATACTTGAGCCATCGCTTGCTGCCTTCCAGGTGCACATTGGTAGGAAGCTGGAATTAGGAGCAAAGCTGAGACTGCCACTCAGGCATTCACTCTATTATGGGAGGTGGCACCCAAACAACATGTTAGCTGCTGGGCCAAACACCTGCCCCTACCCACTTCTTAACTGAATTGTTTGCATTTTTGCTGTTGTATTTTTTTGAGTTTCTCATATGCTTGGATATAGATCTTCTGTCAGCTGCATAGTTTGCAACTATTTCCTCCCATTCTGTTGGTTGTCTCTTCATTCTGTTGATGATTTCCTTTGCAGAAGCTTCTCTTTTTATTTTTTATTTATTTTTATTGTTTTGACAGGCGGAGTGGACAGTAAGAGAGAGAGACAGAGAGAAAGGTCTTCCTTTTGCAGTTGGTTCACCCTCCAATGGCCACCGTGGCCGGCACTCTGCAGCCGGCGCACCATGCTGATCTGAAGCCAGGAGCCAGGTGCTTCTCCTGGTCTCCCATGGGGTGCAG